TCTCTCTCTCTCTCTCTCTCTCTCTCTGTTTTAATCAAAACATAACTTAATATGATTTTTAGGCACAAAAAAATAAAACTATAATCAAATAATAAATATGGAAATTGTATTAAAATATTTTGTATGCATAGAAAATAATGTACAAAAATAAATGACTTTTCCATTAGATTATGATTTGAAACACAAAAAAATAAAACACAAAATATATAACAAAATTACTACAGAATATTCTGTACAAAATTTTACTCAACAAAAAATCTATATTACAGTAGTTTTATGTCTATATTATTATTGTGTATAAAATTTTAAAACAAATTATATTATACAGTAATAAATCATTTCTCAACACAAAATAAAACTAAAAAATAATTACATTTAAAAATCGTAAAAATGTTTTGAAAAAATTTGTCCGCAAAAATCCATATCTAATGGAAAATAATGACAAAAATAATTGCATTAAATGTTATGTTTTTCAAAGGAAATCATAAAACAACATATAAAATAATTCATACCATGGTAAAAATACAAAATTGAAAAAATAATATAAGTTACAAAGATAAAATAAAATACAAAATAAAACTGCTTTTATTTATATCTGGCCATGTTTAAAAACATATAGCTAAATATATTTCCAAACCATTTGCCATATAAAACAATAGTAATAAATATCTATGAGATATTTGCCCTCAAAGTCTCTCTCTCTCTAATCCTATTGTTTAATATCCGTTCAAATCTAATATATTTTTACAACATTCAATTTAAGTTAATAAATTAAATTAAATTGTACAATTTTATTAAACCAAAAAATAATAAATTATTACATAGACTGTACAGCATATAATTTTCATTTAAATAGTCTACAATCATTAATTTGAGCTGTATACATTTAATACCATTGTGTCAAAGTGTCCTTGGTAATGATAATTTGACATTTACATTATAGCTTTTATTATGAAAATTACTAATGTGTTAAAAATAGCTAACACTTGCATTACAATGTAATGCATATGAATTATACAATACATTCATACATGTAATGATTACATGTATGAATGTATTGTATAATTCATCTGAAATATAAATAAAGTTTATATCAATTATGTAAAATTACTATAATACTTAAATTAATAATGGTAAAATTTTTATTTGCATTATTAGCACGTACGTAAATTTGCCAATATAAAAGCACCATGTTGGATGTATTATCGCAAAACAAAACTAACATCTCGGCCGAGGAGATTGTAAACCAATATTTTCCAGGTATTTATCATGTTTAATTAATTACTTTGTTGATTTATAATGATTTGTTGAGTTTATTTTTATATAATATCTAGATAATAATATTAGATAATAAAAGTGTATTTTAACAATTATTCATAATATCTATACAACAAGCAATTTAAACCAAAACATAAATTTAAAATAAAATTTTTGAAATATTCTATGAAGTTAATATTAAAAGAATACCATGTTCAAAATTACCCATGATTACCATTTATTATATTAATAGAAAAACCCTATTATAATTATATTTAGTACATAATTTATTATAATGATTGCTATAAATATACCCTATTTATACAATTGAAGGCCGAATTACATTAGATTTCTTAGAATCTTAGTGCTATTCTTAACTAATTATAATAAATAAATATTCAATCAATTCTTTACAGAATATTCTGTATAGAATATCATTGAGATCTCTATACGTCTCAACCACACAAAGTTCTGTTTGTTTAGCAAAAAAATACATAATTCAAAAATTCTTACTTAAATTCACAAAAATGTCAAAAAATAATAGAGAGAGAGAGAGAGAGAGAGAGAGAGAGAGAGAGACTTACATGTCTTCAAAGTACATGATTACTATAACTAAAAGCTCGGTTGAAAATAGCATCATAAAAAATAATACAAATTCAATAAATTGCAATCACATATAAAACCGGTCAAATTATTTTCTATCCCCAATCCTATGGATAGCAACATAACAACAACCCTATCGTTTATAACATGGTTATTGTTGGTGTTGGTGTTAGCACATAAATGTCATACTACAGAATATTATGGACTAATATTCATGAAAAAATATATATTGGTTTTTATATAATCATAATAAATATCTTTAGGGCTTAGAATCTGGTGTTTAACGTATGGCGTAAAAACGTTGGTTACTTTTTATCCAATATATAAATAAATACGAGTAATCAATATTCTCTCTCTCTCTCTCTCTCTATCTCTCTCTCTCTCTCTGACTGTTTCACTTTTGTCATGTATTGAATTTGTCCCACATTTTTTTGCTGTGAAATTTATGCTAAACTTATTCATTAAACAAATGTAATCGTACGACCAAAAAAATCCCATACAAAAAGCACATTTTGTACACTATATATAATATACACGCTTTTATATCCTCTGTATTTTATATATGCATTATATCTCAGAGAGAGAGAGAGAGAGAGAGAGACTTATGTGAGCTATGCATTAAGAGCTTAATGCAATAAATGCTAAATAAATTCATTTTTGTTTTCCCATTTAGGATTAACTCTTTTATTATTATACAAGTTTTCTTTTATATACAATAAATATAATACGATAAATAAATACAATATTGTATATAACATACAGAATATTCTCTGTATATTCTGTGTCCGACATCAGTATATAGCATATGGAGAGCCGATTGATTATTATTACAACTGATACAATGTATATACTGTACAATTGTGACAATACTATTGTCTAAAAGTGTACAAATGTGTACAACCCTTGAAATCAGGGCAACTGTAACATGTTATATTAAATGAATAGGAGTGTACCATCATTTGTAATTTGATTTGCAAATCAAATGCATTGTTTGCACGCATTTGTATTGTCGAGTGTATTAATAAAATGTATTGATTAATCCAATTGTATAATGTTTAGTATACTGAATATAAACTTGACATTTTTTGTCCCATACAATTGTATGCGATATTAATTACCATAATTGCCGCATTTAATTAATAATTAAATATTCATTAATACAATTGGATTATTTCAAAACCTACATTTAATTGTTAATATATTATTAATAAACCTGATCAGTTTTGATCTCATCAGATTTCATTTTGATACATCTTGCCATTTACTGAACAATTAGTTCATGTAATTATTTAGCATTTGAATTTACATGTATGCTATGATTACATAATGAATGTAAAATACCATTTAATGGTAGTCTAACTGCTAATGTACATATTATATTTAGTATATTTATGTTAATTTATATAAGGTTAGATAGTTTGCGTTAGAGTTTAAGTTAGATAAGTTGCACTGTATACTACAAAAACATTTAATATAGTAAAACTATGACAATAATGAATTAATTTTAGCATAATAATTTTCATATATAACAATTTGATTTTAACCAACTTAAATGTTTGTACTAAAAAATGTACAAGTTTGGAAAAATGCATGGTAAGAAATGAATGGCTTTATATCCGTAAACATAATATTTGATGACAAAGTTATATTTTCGATGACAAAATATCTAGTTATAAATATCTATGAATTATATATCATATATAAAATATGATTAAATATAGTGTAGTGTATATACAGTCTATACATGTATGTGAAAAACACAATCAATCACTGATATAAATAAGTCGATGAATGATCGCACAAAATGTTAGACTAATCCATCATTTTATCACTCAATTGAATTGATTTTGCTCTTTATTTTGCTCTCTCTCTCTCTCTCTCTCTCTCTCTCTCTCTCTAACAACAAATAAAAACAATAATTAAATTATTATAATTACATATATTATTAAATTAAATTTTATAAACAATATGTTTGAATAGCAAAATGAAATCACCAGCAATAATTAATTATTTACAAATCTACTAGATAATTATTTATTAATATGATTTATTATATGCATTTTTGAACATAATTATGTGCATTATACAATATAGAATTAATATGATCGACATATCATGAAATAAATTAAAAATCTGTATAAATATTTGTGTTAGCACTTCTAGATAAACATTACATAATTTGGTACACTATTGAAAATTTATTACTATAACCATATTTAGTTTGATAAATATTTAAAAACTTACAATGGGTATATTGTGCGAGCAAATAGTTATCTAGAATTATGAATTATTTACACGCATACATTTTTGTGATTACGGTGTTCACATGAAAACGATGATAATACATTTGCGAATTTAACTACACAGTTATATTCGCCCTTGGTTACTAACACTGTCATTATTGTTAATTATCATTACAAACATGACAATGGATTTTACTGGAAAGGTCGCATTGATTACAGGTATGGTAAATCCAAAATTTTTAATCATGATAAAAGCAATTAACAAAATCATAAACAATAGGCTCGTCATCGGGTATCGGCCGAGAAGTGGCCCTAAAGTTGTCGTCTATGGGCGCGGATGTAGTGATCACTGGTTTGGAAGAGGAGGGCATCCGAGAAGTGGTCAACACATGTCAAACACAATACGCGGGCAAAGCATTGGGAGTGTTCGGCGACTTAACCGACGATCAGTTTGTCAAACATTTGGTGGAGAAAACTGTGCTAGAGTTTAGCAAAATAGATATACTGGTCAATAACGCGGGCATCTTGGTCAAAACTACTATTGAAGCCCCGGGTTATATGGCCTCGTTTGATCGGGCAATGCGGGTCAATGTGAGATCGATGCAATTGGTGACACACCTATCGGTGCCGTATCTGGTGGCCACCAATGGCTCTATTGTTAACACATCGAGTCTGTGCGCTAATAAACCTGTACGCGATTTTTACCAAAATTGTGCTTGATACTTTTTTACCCTATTTTTGAGTACAAACTGACCTCAATAAGTAAAATTTTTTTGACCTTATCTAATATTGTCCTTTATATTGAGGTCAGATTGTATTACAATTTTAAATTTTTATGTTTAGCACAAATACTTTTAATGTTTTATATTGTAGTTCCGGTCGGAAATCGCGTATTGTATGTCTAAAAGCGCTGTCGATATGTTTACCGAGTGTTTGGCACTGGAGTTGGGACCCAAAGGGGTTCGAGTTAATAGTGTTAAGTAAGTATTAGACTTGAGAGAGAGAGAGAACATTTTGTACACTATATATATAATATACACGCTTTTATATCCTCTGTATTTTATATATGCATTATATCTCAGAGAGAGAGAGAGAGAGAGAGAGAGAGAGAGAGAGAATATTGATTACTGATATTTATTTATATATTGGATATAAAAAGTAACCAAACGTTTTTACGCCATACGTTAAACACCAGATACTAAGCCCTAAAGATATTTATTATGATTATATAAAAACCAATATATTTTTTTCGTGAATATTAGTCCAGAATATTCTGTAATATGACATTTATGTGCCAACACAACACCAACGCACCAACAATAACCATGTTATAAACGATAGGGTTGTTGTTATGTTGCTATCCATAGGATTGGGTATACAAAATAATTTGACCGGTTTTAAATGTGATTACAATTTATTGAATTTGTATTATTTTTTATGATGCTATTTTCAACCAAGCTTTTAGTAATAATAATCATGTACTTTCAAGACATGTAAGTCTCTCTCTCTCTCTCTCTCTCTCTCTCTCTCTCTCAAACTACACAATACAAAAGCTTTTGTCTGTTGTCTAAGAGATAGACGAGTGAAACACATATAAAAAAAGTAAAACTAAATTTTAACTTAAACATAGTCTCCAGGCTTTTATAATTAGATATCTATTTTGTTATACTCTGTCTCCCCTTCACTGTTCACTCACTTAACATCTCTTATACAATGAGATGTATTTACTTTATATACAGTCAGTATTTTATCTTTATATACATTTTTAATATTAATATAGATTGCTAAACGATTTTGTCTCATGTTTTATTTAGATGGTTACGTCTCTCTCTCTCTCTCTCTCTCTCTCTCTATTATTTTTTGACAGTTTTGTGAATTTAAGTAAGAATTTCTGAATTATGTATTTTTTTGCTAAACAAAACTTTATCTGTTTGAAAGATATGAATATTTATTTATTATAATTAGTTAAGAATAGCACTAAAATTCTAAGAAATCTAATGCAATTCGGCCTTCAATTGTACTAATAATAGAGTATATTTATAGTAGACATTATAATAAATTATGTACTAAATATAATTATATTAAGGTTATTCTATTAATATAATAATTGGATAATGAGTGATTTTATCATGGTATTATTTTAATATTAATTTAAAAACTTAAATACTGCAGTTATTTCTTTTAGGTATACTTAAATAAAATATATGTAATATTTGTATTATTAAATATATATTTATAAACTGTTTGTCGTATAGATATAATAAATATAAACTATAAAAGTAATTAATTAAACATGATAAATACCTGGAAAATATTGGTTTACAATCTCCTCGGCCGAGATGTTAGTTTTGTTTTGCGATAATACATCTAACATGGTGCTTTTTATATTAACCAATTTCCGTACGTGCTAATAATGCAAATAAAGTTTTACTATTATTAATTTACATATTATAGTAATTTTATATAATTGATATTTTATTTATATTTCAGATGAATTATACAATACATTCATACATGTAATGCAAGTGTTAGTTAGTATTAACACATTAGTAATTTTCATAATAAAAACTATAGCGTAACTGTCAAATTATCATTACCAAGGACACTTTGGCATAATGTGTGTGGTAACAAATGTATATAACTCAAATTAGTGAATGGAGACTATTTAAATGTAAATTATATGGTTTAATTTAATTAAAATATAGTCTATGTAATAATTTATTATTATTATTATTGGCTTAATAAAATTGTACAATTTAATTTAATTTATTAACTTAGATTAATTGTTATAAAAAATATATTAGATTTGAACGGATATTAAACAATAGGATTAGAGAGAGAGAGAGAGAGAGAGAGGGAGAGAGATGTTATTATTATAATAAGAATATTTGAGAAATTATTTTTTCTTCACATGATTTTTATTTTTCTTCATTCACTTTAAATGAATGCTTCAAAAAATTCTGTATTAAATTTTGTACAGATTTTTTGTGCGATATTTTCTTTATTATTAAATTTTGTAACAATTTTTTTTGTGTTTAAAATATATAAATTGCTTATATCAATATAAATCTCTCTCTCTCTCTCTCTCTCTCTCAAGGCATGAAATAATAAGTTATGAAAAATCTAATTTTCTTTTTGATCATGTTTTTATATAAAATTTAAATTTCATATAAGAAATTAATTAATATTTTGACGCAAACTATCCATAAATTTTAATTTGCAAAATACAGTTGACTTATTCAATAAGAAATTCTATGTTTATAATGATTTTCATTAACATGTTTAGCAAACATGTATATAATTATTAACATATCTATGTTTGCATTAAAAATTAAATTATACATAAACGCTATTGGGAATAATTTATATCATTTAAATGCTAGATAACAAATTATTATTTATACACATGTTATGTTAAACTGAAAAATTATTCCCGAGAAATGCATTAAGCAAAATTAATTTGATTACATTTTAATCAAAATAATAATAATAATAAATCTCTGATTTTGGTCTAAAAATTTATTTTAATGACTTTTTGTGTGACAAATAATACAGAATATTCTGTGAGTTATGAATACTGGGCTTAGAATATATCATATATTTTATTGTGCATTATGTATACAATGAAGGAAAATAAAATATAACTTATTTCATCTTTCTCAGTGAAAATACTATAAATGTCAACATAAGTGTATTTTGCCATTTATTTTACCCTCTCTCTCCATAAGAATTAATGGATTAAAAAGTTTTGCGAATAACTATGTCATTTTTTATTTGCAAATTATTTTCCAAGAATATATATGAACAATTTTATATATGAATACTTTATTTACATTATAAACAATCTTAATCATTTGTCTTGATTGAAATACATTTAATTTTAATTATCTATAAAATAATAATGAAATAATTCAGGCATTTAATAACAAATATATAATTATTAAAACATAAATTTTAAACATTGAATTCAATAGGTTGTGAACAATATAGTTAATTATAATATAAATCATTTAAATAAACATTAAAATAATATTTATATAATAATTTCTTATTAAATCTCTCTCTCTCCGTCTCTCTCTCTCATTAATTAAATAGATATACAAACTGTAATTAATAATATGTACATTATATTAGATATTCAAATAATGCAAATAAAATATAACTTTTGGTTGACGTGCTATATTTCCTATTAAACCTGACTATTAGATATAATAAATATAATTTTTATATATTTTAGATCAAATTTAAGTTTTATAAATATAAGCCTAAATAAGTTTGCATAAATTAACATAAACATTTATACAGTATATTCCCATGATAAATAATCACATTAATACAGTGTACATCCTTAATCTAAATCATATATTTTGTTTATGTTAGTATCATGATTATTTTTGTTTTCTCTCAAATTTTTGTGCTACACAATTTATTATTATATAATACATAATATTTTTGCTGCAATTCCTAAACATAATGTATTATAACTTATAAGTCATGGTTTTTGTTTATGATTTGTATTGCATGGGCAGGAAATCGGGGTAAAACTGTGTCAATATAATTTATCTAGATGACCGTATCATGGAAATTAATACAAATTTAATTAGTAAAACATCCATGGTTGACAAAATATATGTATAATTTTATACCAACATGATTAATACTTGTACCAAGCACTTAAACATAGTACCCCATAGCCTACCCCTGACATGATTTATACATTTTTTGTATGAATTTGTATTTAGTTTTTATTTTGTTATTATTTGTTGCATTTTTTGTATACTGTATAAGGCATAATGGATTTATTATAGTGAACTGGTTTATACATGTTATGACTTAACTGACCGGTCCATTAATTTTGATTAATTTATTGAGGGAGAGAGAGAGAGAGAGAGAGAGCTATATTAAGTCATTAATTCATATATAAGTATAATTTTTAGTTTTTATACAAACATAGAAAATATATACAAAATATTCTGTATTCTGGTATCGATTTGTTGCCATAAAGTGCACAGAATTTATAGAAAAAATTAATAAATCCTTTTAATAAAAACATTTTTTGATATACTTTTTTATTGTTGTGTTGACATCACATATAAATGCAATTATAAAATCAATTACATTATTATTTATGATGAATGTAGAAATAGCTGCATGGTTAGTGTTAATAATAACATGGTGAGCATATTGATTATGGTGGAAAATGCAATTATGAGATTAGCCAGTAGTTCATGCATTAATATACATTATAATTGCATTATTAATAATTTATTATTTCTATATTTTTAGCTCTAAATCTAGTTTGAAAACAAAGTTTTCATTTGCCTTTAGCTACAAATTTAATTATCTCTCTCGCAGTCTCTCTCTCTCTCTCTCTCTCTCTCTCTCTCTCTGTTTTAATCAAAACATAACTTAATATGATTTTTAGGCACAAAAAAATAAAACTATAATCAAATAATAAATATGGAAATTGTATTAAAATATTTTGTATGCATAGAAAATAATGTACAAAAATAAATGACTTTTCCATTAGATTATGATTTGAAACACAAAAAAATAAAACACAAAATATATAACAAAATTACTACAGAATATTCTGTACAAAATTTTACTCAACAAAAAATCTATATTACAGTAGTTTTATGTCTATATTATTATTGTGTATAAAATTTTAAAACAAATTATATTATACAGTAATAAATCATTTCTCAACACAAAATAAAACTAAAAAATAATTACATTTAAAAATCGTAAAAATGTTTTGAAAAAATTTGTCCGCAAAAATCCATATCTAATGGAAAATAATGACAAAAATAATTGCATTAAATGTTATGTTTTTCAAAGGAAATCATAAAACAACATATAAAATAATTCATACCATGGTAAAAATACAAAATTGAAAAAATAATATAAGTTACAAAGATAAAATAAAATACAAAATAAAACTGCTTTTATTTATATCTGGCCATGTTTAAAAACATATAGCT